AATTCTGAAGTAATTTATAAAAAATATACTATTTTATAAATTATTAAATAATAGAATTAGGATGGAATTATGATTTTAACAAATAAAGGTTGAATAAATGATATATAATTACATTAATTAATTTAAATAACAAATATGAATATCTTAAATCAAAAATAAGTTCAGGAAAAATAAGAAACAATATGTAAAATTCATAATCTAGAATTGATCGCTGTTGATTTTGACTTATCAGATAAATCACAGATTTAATTCTTTTGTGGTAAATGTTTAGTTGAGAAAATGAATAACAATAAAGTGGCAACTATTGAATAATCAAAAGAAAGAATATAATTAGTGAAGGCTTAATAAAGAGATATAAAAACTAAAGAGAATCAAGCAAGATTAAGCTATTATAAAAATATATTAGATTAAATTATGAATTTCAAATAATCAATAGATGATTCTTTGGAGAAAATGTACAAATAAATATAATAATATATATTTCCAATTTAAAAAGAAAAATAAGATTTATAAGAATGTGAATAACAATTAAATTACTTTGAAGACATAAAATAATTATCTGAATTATATTCTTAAGAGTAATAGAAATCGCCTAAATTAATAGAGGATAATCATTTCATCAGTGAAATATAAAGATAATTTGAACTATTATTCAATAGTTCTGAATACTTTTAGACATTAGATACTTTTAAAAATACAAAAGAAACAATTAAAGAAATAATGGAAAATAATGTTATTGAGTCAATTCCTTAATTTACAAAAAAAAATGATTATGTATATTCTATTTAATATTTATAGAAAACACCAAGTTTAAGTAGAATATGTAGTAATCATAAAAAGGAAATTATTATGATTGATATGGATTCATCAACTAATAAAATTGAAGATAGATTTGCATGTGTTGACTGTATATCTGAAAATCCATAAATAAAATATTAAACCATTGAAAATGTGGATAAGTATTGGAAGGAATACAACACAGAAACTGAAAGGCTATTTATAAAATATAAAAATGAAAGCAAAGAAAAAAAGTCTGAATTATTCAATTAATTAGCTCATATGAGAAAGAATTATAATAAAAAATTGAATGAAATTAGCGATAAATTGATTACAGAATAATTCTTATCCATTGATAAAACTATACAATCAAATTAAATAAAAAAGATTTCTATTTAAGCATTAGAAGATGAATAATTATTGAAAGATTTGAAGTAATTAATTGAAAAGGAAAAAGAAAAAGTTTCATAAAGTTAAATAATTACAAACTTAAAAAATAAGGATTAGATTTTCAAAAAGGATATTTAGTATCATTTAGAATCTTTGCAATAATATGATTAATAGGATATTTAATAATCATTGGATATTCTAAAAGATATGTCAAGTATTAAATTAAATAATTTTTAATAGTTGAAAAAAATCTAATTATCTAGCTGATTGATATGATCTAAGATATGTAAACATGTGCATAAAAGGATGAAAACTATAAAAATCAAATTAATTTTATGAAAGAAATATAAGAATTGATTGATTAGGCTTAAAAATATCAATGCCAATTAAATCTATTTGATTAAACTATTACGATTTATTAATAGCATGTTTAGAAGATAGAATACATTTAATAAAACTTATAGATTAAATCTTAAGATTAAACAATAAAATCCGAAAAATTAAAGACTTAATATTCTAAACTATCAAATATTTTGAATGAATATTCAAATACATTTGATACTAATAGTGAATAATTGAAAAAATATTGTACCATTAAATAATTAGAGAATGACATAATAAAATTAAATGAAGCTAATAAAAAATTAGAAATTGAAAGTAATGCTTCATAATATTGAATAGAAAATAATTATATTAGTTCGAAGGAACAATAATTTGAGTAAAAACTTAGTGAGATAAATGGAAAGTTATAATTAAAGGAAAAAGAATAAAAGGATATGAAAGAATAATATGAATTAGATAAGATGACAATGATGAAGAAATTGGAAGATGAATGTAATGATTTTGATTTTATTCCTTAGAAAACAAATTAAAATAGGAATTTAATCAAAATTTAAATTAAAAAGAATCAGAATTAAAAGAAGCATTAAGTAAACTTGATTAAATTAATAAAATTAAGTTAGAATAAGAAAAATAAAATAAAATGGAATTATAAAAAGTATTATTATAATCAATTTATTATATTATTTTTAGATTCAATAATATAATAAATCATTATCATTTTCAAATACTTT